TCCTAGCTAACGATATTGGAACAAAAGTCAGAAACTGATGAGCTGGTATCTAAGGGACGTAGATTGAGTGAAACTAAACACTTGATATACAAAAGTTTTGCCAAGTACTAAAAAAAAAAAAAAATAGGCACCAATATTTATCATTCTATCAGCTACTCAAACATGACTCCATAATTATAAGGTGTTTGGTTTTATGAGTAACTTTGGTATAATTATAAGCTATTATGTATGGCTATTTGTTGCTATTATGTATGTTTCTTTGTTGCTATTATGTATGGTTCTTTGTTGACATTATGTATGGTTATTTGATGCTATCTTGTATGGTTAATTATGCTATTATGTTTGGTTATTTGATGCTATTATGTATGGTTATTTGTTGCTATTATGTATGGTTACTTGTTGCTATTGTATATGGTTACTTGTTGCTATTATGGATGGTTATTTGTTGCTATTATGGATGGTTATTTGTTGTAGCGCATGTTGATCATGCATATATTACTAACTGTGAACTATCAACTGCTATTGCATTATATTTGGATAATGGACCAAATATTTTCAAATACCTAATACTACCTGAGTGAAGATGGTTCCTTATAGCTTTGTAGGTATAACATTATAGGTATATATTGTAGTTATAATCAGTTATATATCGATAGGCTAAATCAACCAGTGATTAAACGAGTGAGCAGTTGGCAATTAAGTAACCATTGGTAAAGTTTAACAGTTATGTTTAAAATTGTAATTTGTATATTTCATTTCCTTCTATTAAGAAGAAACAAGGTTATTGGATACAGCATGTAAAATACAAAACCCTTAGTTAATGGATAATAGACACAGTAAAAAATGTGAAGAAAAAAAAAGAAACAGAATGTCTGTCGATGAACACATACAAATAACTGGCATCCTAAAATGGCGGGCACAATTACCAATTTTATTCAATTAGATGGGGCATTTTGGGGATCAATGATGCTATAGTTTTTGTGAGAAAGGCATGTCTGCCATTTTGTAGAACCCTCTTCCCAGGCGAGATCTATGAAATGTAGTATTCTCGAAAGTAAATTTGGCATGATTATAAGGTTTACAGTTGTTTAGACCAATGTCCAATGACTAAACTGAGAGATAAGATGCTCAGAGCATTGGTGAGCATGAGGCAGTTCAGTTACTTGTGGATGGTATGAGTTACACTCCTCATATTCATAAAACCAAACACCAACAAGTAACCATATACAATAGCAACAAATAACCATACATAATAGCAACAAATAACCATCCATAATAGCAACAAATAGCCATACATAATAGCAACAAGTAACCATATACAATAGCAACAAATAACCATACATAATGGCAACAAATAACCATACATAATAGCAAGACGTAACTATACATAATGGCAACAAATAACTATACATAATATCAAGTAACCATACATAATAGCATCAAATAACCACACATAATAGCATCAAATAATCATACATAATGGCAACAAATAACCATATATAATAGCAACAAATAACCATATATAATAGCAACAAATAACCATACATAATAGCAACAAATAACCATACATAATAGCAACAAGTACCTGTACATAATAGCAAGTAACTATACGTAATAGCATCAAATAACCATGCATAATGACAACAAATAACCATACATAATGGGAACAAATAATCATATATTATAGCAAGAAGTAACTATACATAATGCCAACAAATAACTGTACATAATAGCAACAAATAACCATACATAATAGCAACAAATAACCATACATAATAGCAACAAGTAATTATACATAATAGCAACAAGTAATTATACATAATAGCAAGTAACTATACATAATATCATCAAA